TCGGCCAGGGTTCCTGGTTAAGCCGATGCCTTCTCAAAACGAAGGAGAGCTGCCGGAGTTAGTTTGGTTTTGTGAGAAACGGTCGCAGCCGAAATAGCCCCCCCCCCCCGGTCTTGGCGGCGGAGCAAACCCAAAGGCTTTGTGAGGCGAATTCCAACTCATTATGTGGCATCTGTTGTTGTGTTTGCATGTGAGGCATCTGTTTTCTCAGCATCCTTTTTAAAAGAACTTGCAAACAGCTTATTTGGTTATTTGCTGAGATTCATTTTCATAGATTAGCAGGGGGGGGGGAGAGAGAGAAATGAGCCACTTTTGTCCTCTTTCTCCCCCAAAGGAAACGGAGTTCCAACGTGAAGGGGGAGACACGTTCCCCTTTCACAGGCTTCCGGGGGGGGGGAGGGAAGGGAAGCCGGCCAAGAAGGAGCCGCTGAACGAGGGCTGTACTTGAGCCCAGACGTGCTGGGCTTGGAGTTTGGTTTCGCCTCCTGGAGCTCCTCAGGTCACCTGCTGAGACTCTCCTGAGATGCAGCGCAGCCACTTGGTCGGGTCTGGGGGAACTACCAGGCACGCCCAGATGTACCAAAAACGGTTTTTCTTTTTTCCCCTGTTTCTTTCCGCTAAAATAATACCTAAAGGTGGGCAGTGGCTGGAGAGGGTTTCAAGATTCCTCTGGGCCTGGGGTCTGAAGCGGCTCTTCCCCGGCAGCCCCCGAGGCCCTGCCCTGCCAAGGCTCTGTTGCCACGGGCAGCCCTTCCTCCAGCATTCTGATGCTGGCTGACCCAGAACCCCCAAAGGGACGGGCCATTCTCTTGACTCGGGCTCCCGAGCAGGCCAGGGCACGCGGAGTCTGCTTCGTTTGGGATGATCTCCTCCCCCCGGGAGGTGTGTTCTCCATTGGTAGGTGTGGGGTGGCCTCTTAAGGATCCATGTGGGCAGAGCCCAAGAGGCTTTTACAAAATGGCTTTGGCAAGGGTCACTCACGTCCCATTATCCACAGCCATTTAGTGTTGTGGTTCCTCTGAGCTGAGCTGGCAGCTTTCCATTAATTCACTGTTACGGTCATCTGCTGTGTGTGTGTGATATTTTGAAGGCTCCGGTTCATCTCTTTCCTGCCCTTTCGGCAGGCGTCTTGATTTCTGGTCGCTCCGGAGTGCTGCCTCGCCTCTTGCTTCTCTCTGACCTCTGCTTCTGTTTCCTTCCTTTGCAGAGACCACAAAGGGGCCAAGGCATCGGAAAGACCACAGGCGCCCAGACCTTGAGATCTACAAGCCTGGCCTCTCCCGCCTGCGGAACAAGCCGCCGGTCCCAAAGCCGGAGGGGCCCGGGCAGGAGGAGGAGGCGGCCCAGGGCGGGATGGCGGGTGACCAGAACTCTCCTCCTGCTCTGCCCCCCCGGGAAGAGCCTGGCCTCTCCCAGGACCTGCAGAGAGGCAACGGCCCGCATCCAAATGGCATCCCAGAAGGAAACGCTGAGGTGGGGGCTCCCCACAGCCAGGCAGGCACCCTGGAAGACGGGGGTCCTCAGGTCACCAGGCGAGCCAAGAAGCCCGACCAGCAGATCTACCAGGCTGGGAAACGACTGCAAGGCTCTTCCAAGGAGCCAACAGCTGAGGAGCCCCCCGTGAAGAATGAGACTAGCAAGGAGACAGAAAAAGAGGCCGGGAAGGGGGGTGAGGGCCCCACCAGGAAGCCGGCGGTCCAGGAGGCAAAGGAAGGGAGCCTCAACACAGAAGGCACCCACTCCGTCCGAGGGGAGAAGGGTCGGCGAGCCGAGAAACCAGAGGGGTTCAGAAAGGGTAGCGAGGAGGCCCCCTTGGGCGGCACCAAGGCAAGACTAGCAAGGAGACAGAAAAAGAGGCCGGGAAGGGGGGTGAGGGCCCCACCAGGAAGCCGGCGGTCCAGGAGGCAAAGGAAGGGAGCCTCAACACAGAAGGCACCCACTCCGTCCGAGGGGAGAAGGGTCGGCGAGCCGAGAAACCAGAGGGGTTCAGAAAGGGTAGCGAGGAGGCCCCCTTGGGCGGCACCAAGGCAGGCACGCCGACTCCGTCCGAGGGGAGAAGGGTCGTCGAGCCGAGAAACCAGAGGGGTCCAGAAAGGGTAGCGAGGAGGCCCTCCTGGGCGGCACCAAGGCGGGCACGCCGAAGCGGTACTCCCGCTCAGACAAGCGCCGGAACCGCTACCGGACCTGTAGCACCAGTTCGGCCGGGAGCAACAACAGCGTGGAGGGGGCGCGGGGGGAAGGAGAGGCGGGCAAGAAGCGGCAAGAAGCCCCTAAGGAGCGGCTTCGCCTTCGGCAGCCACCCCCGCAACAGCAGCAACAGCAACAGCGCCTCTCTGGATCCTCCACAGACTCTCTGGAGGACGACCGGGTGGAGCGTGGGCTCGCCAGGAACTCGGAGGCAAAGAGGTGCCTGGAGCAGGACTGGCTTTCCCGGGCGGGCAGCCGGCAAGAGGAGAAAGGCGCCCAGCCAGGCAGCAGGGGCCTCTCGGCCGCCAAGGGGGACTGGCGGAAGCGCACGCCCTCTGGCACCAGCTTGAGCGATTCTGCAGAACCCGGAGAGGGGAAGCCCCAGGGCCGAGGCCGCGGCATCTTGGTCCTCCCGGCCAACACGGACCTCACAGCCAGCGGTGCTGGCGGCTCCCCAGAAGCTCCTCTCGCCGGGGGTCCCAGACTCCTCTTTGGGACAGGGGGCAGCAAAGGGGCCCGGGCCAGGGGCCGAGGAGGGACCGTCCGCCGCCTCTGGGACCCCAACAACCCCGAGCAGAAGCCGGCGCTGAAGAGCCCCATGGCGCAGCTGCACTTCCTTGACACGGACGACGAGGCGGTGGCGACTCCTGTCCCCCGGGGAGGCGACCCCCGCCAAGTGCCGGCCTCATACTACCGCTTCCAGAACTCCGACAACCCTTACTACTATGGCCGGGCGGTGGGCCAGGGGCCCCCCTACCCTTACCCGGGATACTCCTTGCCTTATCCGGTGGGGGTCAGCAACGGGGTCTACCCGGGGCCTTACTATCCCCCCACCGGCAGCAGCGGCTACCCAAGCCCCGCCGAACCCTATCTCTGCAGTCCTCTCGTGGCAAGCCCTCTGTGCCCCGAGATGGAGCCGCCGGTCCGCAGCCTCCAGCAGCCGGAGCTGAGCCAAGTCCTCCGGGAGGCCAGCAACCTGGAGCAGCAGCTGAGCAACCTCCTGTCCAGAGACCGGCTGAGTCCTGAGGGGCTGGAGAAGATGGGGCAGCTCAGGTGAGAGGCTTCCCTTGGGATTCGGGGCGGGAGCAGAGGGTGTGTGTGTGTGCATGTGCGTGCGCACGTGGCCAGAGGGAGCCGAGGGCTGTGCTTCCAGGGGTCGAGGCGAGGGAGAGGTTGCCAGTCCGAGCAAGGGGCCGGTGGGGCAAGGTTCTTGGCAGCGGCAGAGAGAGAGCCCAGAGGTGGATGTGAGCATGTCCTGAGCTGGCCCCCTTCTCTCTGCTGGCGTGAGATCAGCCAGCCCGAGGTTGTTTCCCTTGGATAAACTGCAAATTTATCATGAGGGGGAAAAAAACAGGAGAGGCATCTAAATGTTATTGCTGTTTTTGGAGGGAGGGGCAGCCCCTCCACAGCAGCCCCTTCCCTCTCCTGACCCCCGTCTCCTTCAGGTTTGGGAGAGAGGGATCAAGGACGGGCCTTCCATCCCCTTAACCGAAGCAGCCCCTGCTCAGCCTTGGTGGTGGTGGGGCATTTGGGGTGGTGCCATTTCAGGGGCGAGATGCTGCAGCTGTACGAGCGCTGCCTCCTGGCCGACATCGAGTTTGCCGACGCCCAGAACGTGGACCAGCTGCTCTGGAAGAATGCCTTCTACCAGGTGATTGAGAAGTTCCGGCAGCTGCTCAAGGACCCCCTCGGGGAGAACGCCCAGGAGCTCCGCAGCAAGCTCTTCCAGGTCCTGGACGAGGTAGGAAGGCAGACCCCGATGGTTCCCGCCTTATCAAGGCCCCCTCCTTGATCTCCTCCCAATATCAGGAAGTGCCATGGGCTCCTCATGCCTTGTAAGTGCCTCCGGCTCCTTCCTTCCTTCCCTTCCTCACCCCCTTCTGCCTTCTCCCTCCACTGCCAGGGCACCCTTTTCTTTGACGGCTTGCTCCAGAAGCTGCAGCTCACCTACCAGTTCAAGCTGGAGGACTACATGGATGGCACGGCCGTTCGCAGCAAACCCCTGCAGAAGATGGTAAGGTGCTGAGGGAGGGCAGCATTGTAGCCCAAGAGGGCTGTGGCAAAGCTGGGGCTTAGAAAGAGCCAGTCACAAAGAACAGAGTTGCATTTAAATATTTTCCTTTCCTTTATTAAACATTTTCCCCAGGGAAGGGAGGGAGGACTTAAGCCGCTGTTGCAAAGATGCAGCTCAAAAGTATAATAAGAGCTCCTCACCTTCAGGATCAGAATTGGATGGTTCACTTGTCCGTGGTCTGAAAATATTTAAAATATTAAAAGAAAAATGCTCCAAATGTACATTTTTGACCATGAAGGGTCCAGAACTGGCCACTAGAGAGAGCCAGAGACCACGTGACACGGGCCATTCTCTGTAAGAGTAGCATTGGGTGTCCTTCAGGGTGGCTTGGCACCCATTCCCCATGGACAGAGGCATCCGACTGTACTAGAAGAGGAGAAACCCTGTTCTTTTAGTTTTGAAATGCCTGGGGGTTTGGGTTACTTTGGAAAGTTACTTTTTAAAGGTCCTTGGGGCAGTTTCATTCTGGAGTTTTGCGCCGCTTTGGAATCCATCTGAATTCTCCCCAGAGAAACAACACTCGAAGGAGAAAACGTGGAGCCACAGAACAGCCCACATCTTGGCCAGGCATCCGTGGCTGTGCTGCCCACTCAAGGGGGTTTCTTGTTCCTCTCCCAGGTCAAGTACGCCCTGATCAGCGCCCAGCGGAGTTTGATCTGCCAGGGAGACATCTGCCGGTACCGGGAGCAAGGGAGCGACACCGCCAACTATGGGAAAGCCCGCAGGTAGGAGGAGATCCTGGGAGTGAAGGCAGAAAGGAAGCCAGGAAGCCGGCCGGCCGGGGCACTGGCTGTCGCTGCTGCTGCTCCATGTTAGGCGGTGGGAAGCGGGTCAATGTCTGCAGACCCCGTCTCGATAGGCGGGAGGGCGCCGAGGACTGGGGAGGGGGGTGGCTGAAGTCAGAGAAGGCTGAAGGCTTTGGGAAGGAGGCGGAGCGCAGCCGAGAGCCTCCTTCTCCCACTGGCAAGGCCTCAGAACTGGGGGGGGGGGCAGGGTGGTGGTGAAGGAGATCGCCCTCTCCCCCTTCTGAGAAACATCACCGTAGCTGCGTTTATGGGTCTGAGGCCTGTAAGGTCCTCAGCGGTGGCATCTTCACTTAAAAGGGGGGGAAGGAGAGAGAACACACACACACACCAATGTAGAACGGAGTCAGCTGCCTAGTGGCTTGGTTGTCGGCCTCACACCCAACCTCCAGTGTGGTGCTCCACCCCAAAGCATCTGCTTGTGGGGGAGAGGGAGGCCTTTCCCTCAAAAGCCGCTGCCGTGAGGTTGCCCCAGCCCGGCCTGTGGGGTCACGGGGCTCTCTTCCTTCCCCAGCTGGTACCTGAAGGCCCAGCAGATCGCCCCCAAAAACGGACGCCCCTACAACCAGCTGGCCCTCCTGGCTGTCTACACGGTAAGAAGGGCCCTTCCCTGGGAGGGGCCCCAGAGTGGGCCTGGCAGCCCCCAAAGTTGGGTGGCAGCTGAAGCAACACGTGTGGGGTGGGACGACCGGGGGTGGGGGGCCAGGGAGTTCCCGCCTGTGCCTTGCTAACGCCCGCCCGGCCCTTGGGTGCCTCTGCAGAGGAGAAAGCTGGACGCCGTCTACTACTACATGCGGAGCTTGGCTGCCAGCAACCCCATCCTGACCGCCAAGGAGAGCCTCACGAGTCTCTTTGAGGAGACGAAGCGGAAGGTAAGAAGCCGGGTCGCTGCCTCCCTGGTCCCCCCCCTCCTTCTCTGCCACCGCCCCCCCTGAACAGCCTCTTCCCTTTCCCTGAGCAGGCTGAGCAGAAGAAGAGCCCCATCCGGGCAGCCAACCAGGGGAAGAAGTCGGCCTTCCGGCCCTCGGGCGACGACGCCACCCGTCTGGAGCTCTGGCTCCCCCCCTCCCCCCCGCCCTCCGGCCAGGGCCACGAGTCAGGCCGCGACTCGGAGCAGGACGGCGGCCTCGGGGGCCTGAGCCCCAGCGATGTGAGTACCGGGGAAGGATGGGCGCACGGCTCCCCCTCCTCACGCAGGGGTTAACGTAATGGGGCTGCCGGGGTGTCCGAGAGCCCCAGGCCTTCGTATCCCCTCGGGCACGCCTGCCCCAGGATCGGTGCCTCCCTTGTGGCGCAAAACCTGGGCTTCACAGCATGAGAAGCCCTCGGAGAACATCCCCCCCCCCAAGTTGTCTGTGTCCTCCTTGCTCCGAACCAAGGCAGATTTCAGGAGGGGCCCCTCGGTCATGTATTTTAGAGGAGGGCAGGGCTGGGAGGAGGAGGCGGTGGAGAAAGCAGGGCGGGATCCGAGAGGGTCCACCGCTCCTTGCCCTGCCAAGGGAAGAGCTAGAAAAGCGCGGGTGAAAGGAAAGTGGCAAGGATTCGGCCAGGCTGTCACAATTGGGGCGTTGGGGACCGTTTCAGGGCTTGGAGTTAAAGGGTTTTGAAACAGGGCAGTTGCAGGTGGTCAGGGGAGGTGGCGGCCACCAGAGCAGGCCTCCCTCGGCGGGAGGTGCCGTTTTCCCTCCTGCCACGGGGTGGTGCTCCTCTGCTGAGCAAGGCTGCTCTCTCTCTCCCCCCCCCCCTTTTCCAGGACGGACACTAGAGGGAAACGTACTCGCCCGGGTGGGTAGGGGGAGGGTTAGGGTACCTCTGCCATGTCAGCCCCCAGCTACGAAAGGAGGGAGAATTTGTGACTCATGGATGTGGGTCAAGAGAGGGGCAGGAAGGTTGGCAGGGGGGTGTTAGGGGGCACCAGCAGCAGCAGAGGGGGCAGCTGCTCTCTGTTGTCCCCCCCCCTCTCTCTCTGGCCCTCCTGCCCTCCTGCCTGGCAAAGGCGCCTCCTCTTGCTCTCGACCCCACCTGGCACAGGGGATGCCTCCCTGACCTTGTGGGCCTCCCCCCCCCATTCTCACTCATTCCCCCCCGTCCAACCTGCTCCGTGTTGATGGGAGGCATCTTGGCAGAACGCTTGCCTGCAGCCACACCTTTCCTGGCGAAGGGGGCCTTCTTTTTCCTTCTCTGTGGCCTTGAGAGAGAGCAGGGGCCGGGAGCATAAGATCCAGAGGGGGCAGCTGCTCTCTGTTGTCCCCTCTCTCTCTCTCTCTCTCTGGCCCTCCTGTCCTCCTGCCTGGGAGGTAACGGAGCAAAGGACCTGGCACAGGGGATGCCTCCCTGACCTTGTGGGCCTCCCCCCCCCATTCTCACTCATTCCCCCCCGTCCAACCTGCTCCGTGTTGATGGGAGGCATCTTGGCAGAACGCTTGCCTGCAGCCACACCTTTCCTGGCGAAGGGGGCCTTCTTTTTCCTTCTCTGTGGCCTTGAGAGAGAGCAGGGGCCGGGAGCATAAGATCAGGCAGGCCAAGGTCAAACTCTCTGGGTTCTCGGCAGGCCACTTGGTCTCCATCGGAGACCTCTGGGAGGAGGCCGGTTCGAGGGACAAAACGGCTGGCAGCTGCACCTTGAGAGCAGGACCCGGGGGCTCCTGTTCCACCCCCACCCACCCTCCGGAGCTGCAGAGCCCCCCCACGCAGAGCCTAGGGAAGTGTTTGCTGCTTATGTCTCCACCAGGTGGGGGCGCTCAGGGCTTTGTCAGCTCAGCCCCTTGAAAAGGCCCGGCCTTGATTCCGGGAACCCTGTTTCGGAACCTGTTCCCAGGCTGGCGGGAGCCTCCCTCCCTCCCTCCCTCCCTCCCTCGCCGGGTGACGGGCAACCCTGCGTGCGGCTCCTTGCTCCCCTTCCTGCCCGAGCCCCCTTGACCTCGGTCACCAAAACCACCTTTGAGCTGTGTTTTGACTCGGGCTGTTTCGCTTTCGCACGGCGAGGTCTGCGCTCTTTCCTCTCACGGAGAGAGAAGTTCTCTGGAGAGGAAGCTGAGGGTGCCAGGCTGCAGCTGAGTGGGTTAGACGCAGAAACCGCATGCCCGGCCCCCGCGGCCCCGAGGACGTGACACACGGCACGCAGCCGCCCCTGCTGGCGACCGACCGGCTTCCCTCCTCCGAACCGCAGGCTGTTCCCCCCCCCTTTTTTCCTCTCCTCTTCTGGAGAGCGGAAGAGCTATAGGGGAAATCGCACGCACACAATTTGGGTTGGGGGTCCCTCATCGTGCCCTTACGACCCAGCTCCTTATGAGGAGACCCAGCAGCTGAGTCTTCCGCCCCCCCCCCGCTCCTTCCGGTTCCCCTTTTGACCTTTCGCTGCCACCCACGAGCCCCAGGGTGAAGCAGAGAGCAAGAGTTTCCAGGCACGCAAAGTTCTGCCTCGGGAGGGCCGGCGTACGTTGGCCCACTCAGCGCCTTTGGACTGCGCCGTCCGCTTTTTTGTCGAGTCGAGAGAAAACTCTGGCGGTCTCCCAGTTCCACTCCCGGGATTCACCGCTACTCAGACTTGCCCCGCCTTCCCACTCTGTTTCCTGAGGGTTAAGCAGAGAGCAAGAGTTTCCAGGCACGCAAAGTTCTGCCTCGGGAGGGCCGGCGTACGTTGGCCCACTCAGCGCCTTTGGACTGCGCCGTCCGCTTTTTTGTCGAGTCGAGAGAAAACTCTGGCGGTCTCCCAGTTCCACTCCCGGGATTCACCGCTACTCAGACTTGCCCCGCCTTCCCACTCTGTTTCCTGAGGGTTCCTCCCCTCCCTTCCCAAACCTGTCCATGTAACCATGAGGACTAGAAGCCCCCCTGCCTATGTTTTTCCTTAAGGGGAGGGGGGGGAGACCGTACTCTGGGGAGCTGAGGTCTTCAAGATGTCCCCTGTTACTGGGGAACAGGTGTAAGACGGGAGACTCTTAATCGGTTCATCCTGAGCTTGGGTCCCTCTTATCGGTCTGTCCGCTCAGAACGGCCCGCAGGCTGAGCGCAGGGTGTGGTGCGCTCGGCCACAGGGAGTGTCCCCTAACTTTCATCTTTCTGATGACACTCGATGCCCCGAGGAGGAAGATGTCTCTCGTTTCCCCTGGGGGGGGAGGTGTTGAGGGAAGTTGGCCCCTTCTCTGTTCCAGGGCAGGGTGGGGGGCCACAGAGGCCTTTCAGAAGGCAGGGAAGGGAGGGACGAAGAGGTAGGGCTTTGGGGTTTGCTCATCCCTTCTGGCAAGGGTGCCCCCAAACAGTCCTAAGCCAATCAATCAGAGCTGGGGTTTTGGGACCTCTCCCGTGGACAACATAACTCTGCAGCAGCAGATGGGAAGTGAGCCCCCACCACACCCACCCACGGCTCCTCC